CAGCTTTTAAAGCATTTTTATAACCCAAAGCTTATATTTCTTTATATACAGATATAAAAGGCAAGGTCCGATCAAACTCGCATCATATAGTCGCCTGCAGAGATTAACATAAGTTTCAATGTTTCCAGGCAGTTGGATCCTTTTCCTCAGTTCCTGCAGAACAGCTGCCCTGTCTAGATATTCTGGATGTAAGCCCAAATCAAGCATTTTAATCACTGTTTCTGCAGCATCACTAATATGCCCTCCTTTAATGTAACCCCTCAATAGCCATGATAAAGTTTTCTTCCTCCGGAGAGAGCTTGAAACTTCCATTCTAGTAAGCAATCGCGATATGGCACTAGCCTCCTTTTGGGAAGCACAAATAGCTAAAACAATGTCATGAAGGTCTGCATCAGCCTCCTTACCCTCAAGTTTCATTTCCCACAGCTGTCTTTCAGCTTCAAGTCCACGGCCAGCACAAATATACATAGCAAGAAGCCTCTCATGAACCAACCCAAAAAGTGAAGAAGTTCCCTCTTCAATTGCCCAATTAGACAATCTTAGTCCATCAGCAAGAAGATCAGATTGATACTTTTCTATAAGCTCTAAATTTTCCATATCAAGTTCAGAAACCAAACCAGACCTTGCAAAAGCTTTCAACTTACGCAAGGCTTTTGCAAATTCATTAAGCTCTTTGACTATTGCTGTCATTGCAATGAGGTAACTGTAAATCTCAGGCTTCAACCCAGATTCTCTAAGCTCAATCACCAATTTGATGGCATCCCTGTAGTTACCCTCAACCTGGCCGAACATAGGTAAATTGGTTATCGACACAGAATCAGAATACAATCTGTCTAACAGATACACACTGGAATAGCAATAATCTGTGACTTTGTTAAGAAGTTGTTTTCAGTGCAGAGTATAATGAATAATGACAAAGCCCAATTAAGAAACCATTGAAGATAATGAGCGAAAGAGAAAAACAACATTGAACTGTATGCATTCTGCATATAAAAGCATAAAGTTCTAACTAGAATAACATAGGGATCAAAACATACTTATAGACAATCAAGAAAGTAATGAACACTAAGGCAACAAACAAAAACAAGAAGGACTAACAAATGACTAAACATAGAAAGCAGCCACCATTAATTCCAAGAACAAGATGGAAACATAACCAACTTATCAACAAAAGCAATAACAATGAAAAATCCAACTAACAAGCAGATTTGATTCAACCAATTCTCTATTACACAAAAGTACAAGAAATTAATCTCTAACACACAAACTAGAATATCTGGATAGGAAAATATGAAAGCTTAAGAGAACATACCATCATCTTCCATGAAAGATAACCAGTTGGCCCCCCTTTCTGTCCTTCACCATCTTCATCTTCGTATGAAATTCCCCGTCTCAAAACCTCCTTCACGAACACAACAGCTCCAACTTTCTTCTCCATCTCCCAATACATTGAAATCACCTTCTCAATCATACTAAAACCCGGCTTCAACCCCACGCAATCCATGTCCACAAGGAGGTCAACCACATCACCAACCTCACCCTCTCCTTCAATCAACTTCTTGACCCAACTACACATAATAGAAACCATAAGTTCCATTGTCTCATTATCAACCTTATTCTCCTTCTTGAGCCACTCAAAGACTTCAAGTGCACACCAAGAATCTCTCCCTTCTTGAGAAAAGTAAACCAAAACCAACTGGAACTCTCTTGATGACAACCTATCATTCATTTCTTCAAGAATATCAGAGGGTTCCCTTGTCATCCTCTCTAGTTCTTCAATTGCCTCAAAAAAGCCTTCACTCATTTCATCTTCATCATCACTTGTTAAAAATTGGTCCAATTCCACCGATTTGAACAGCCTACACTCTCTGGTTCTCGGTTGTCTTTTCCTAAGAACAAAGCTCGGATTTTGGTGGTTGCAGATCCTCGTTGAAATTCTTCTAAGACTATGTCTCGAAAAGAAAGTTTGATAAAATTGAGGAGCCAGAAAGCGGTGGCTTTGAAAAGGCAAAGATAATTCAGTCAACGAGGTGAACCGACGAGCAAAGGCCATATGTTGGATATGGGGAGAGCTTGGTTGCCAGTTGAAAGAAGGGAAAAAGAAACAAAATCTTTCAAGAAGTCAGCTTCAGTTCCCGCAAAATAAAGCAAAACCACGTCTAATACGGGTCAAAAGAAAGCAGCCTGGTCCCTCTGGAGTCAAAAGTTAAATCTTTTTTTCTTCTAATTTTCTACGATTTCTCGGCATCCAAACAGAATCCCAGAGCGGTTCAAGCTGGAGAAACTGAATAGAAAATGACGACAAAAGAGGAATCCATGAACAGGGAAACAAAAGGGTAAAGATAAGATTCTTGGAGTTCAGCCGAAGGGGCAAACAACAAGTTGTGATGAAGAAAAATGGTATGGGATTTGGGTGGTGTTGGTGTGTCGAACGGGGCAAGAGTGTTTTCAAAGGCTAAAGAAGCTCGACTTACCAACTCCCACAGACAAAGCTTACAAAGATGTCACCTTCTGTCGAACCAAGTTTCTGAGCTTACAGTGCGGAGACGTGTCCCAACGATGACTTCTCAGCTAATTTTAGTAAACATCGCTGCTTGGGTTTTTTATGGATTTTCTTGCCTCTGCATTTTTGCTTTTTCTGGCCGTCCGTTCGAACAATAGGTCAACAGTCCTTTTCGGTTATTCCATCTCTTGTTCTCGTGTTCTTTTCCCAGTTAAAAACCTTGGCCAGAATCCTGGGTTTCCTTGTTGGGCTGGTTTTGACTCTTGGATAGACGAAAAACTAGAGACTGGGCTAGCTTTTCTGCTGCTCAACCCATCAAGTTTCTTGGGCTAGATCCAGGAAATTATCCACCGTTTCTACACTATTAAGAATGTTAATGGTTACTTACTATAGTAAGGTATCCTGCATTATCTGATTTGATTAAGTTTGCTGAACTCATTAGAGTTTCTTGAGGTAGATGAATGACTAATAATGTTGACGGATATCATTTAATTGGATATTTTACATTAGCTGATTTGATGAAGTAGGATTAAAATATTTTATAATCAAATTTTGATCACAAAACTATTGATCATCATGAATTTAAGTATTTAGAGAATTCTTATTGTCTATCAAATAATAAGATTTGGATTAGGATAATTTGGGTTAAGGTATTTTACCAATTGACATCGTCAAAGATGATGGACATCGACTCTTGCCTTATGGATTGTACCATGACATGCAAGATGCTGTCATGACAATGCATGTATGATGTATAATCCATGATGGGAATGTGATGAGTAGAGAAAGGACAAACATACTCATTCTGGAATATCGGTTTCATCCGCATAAAAAGGTCTACGTATTCTCATGCACCATATTATATAATGTTTAGGTGACATCCCTTGGGATTAAAATAATAGGAGAGGATTGTGCTAGGAGTTGACCCTGGCTACAGTTTTGCACTGATTGAAGCTTCCCAAGTCTCAATAAGCACATCAAACAAAGAATTTTTTTTTCCATGTACTGTTTTGGTGTTCTCTTTCACATGCAGGTCTAGAGACCTTCGTTTGTCTCTCCCAACAAAAAATAGAACAGCTATAAAATGGCACAATTCTCGGAGCAAATCTCAATAACCCAAATTCCAGTAACATACACAAAGTTGTTTTATGTGATCCCAATCCATTTTGGATTACTTTAAATTCTTATTCATATGTTTTTTAAATTTTTAAGGTTAACAGATTGTTTAGAATTCCTTTGATTTAAAATATGATTAAAAGTATAAATTTCAACTGGAAAGATGATAAATTCAACATTTAAATTTGTAAAAATCGATATTCAACATCAACAATATGATATTAATTAGCTTTAAATTAAGATTTGAATGGTTTTTACTTCTACCTGCAGTAGGTTATGTTGTCTTGTTTACATGTTGGCCAGTAGGCCATGTGAGAGCTATGTAAAGAAGAATCTCCTCCTCAAACATCAAAACATTATTTTCATGGAAGACAAAACCCCCAGAATGAGATAAAAAACCATCATGAATTTTCGTGCTCATGAGAGAATCGCGATCATGGAAGCTGTGACTGTCCGAATTTGATAAGAAAAATTTGAAGATCATTGAATCCAATGCAGTGTGTGAGGACCATCAGATCATATATATATATATATATATAATTAACATCTTCTACTTGAGAGGCTGAGGAATCTTGGGAGAAGCCAAGCAAAGTACAAGCTTTGTTGTTATTAGGAGCGGTCATATGGTTAAGGGACAAAGACAAATCCGTGATCACCGACAGCAAGAATCAACAGCACAGTCTCCCGCAACACACACCCATAACGTTTCTGTTTTCTAGGAGCTTATCTCACTCTCTCTTCACGCTCTAGGGAAAAAGATAATCTTTTAACTCCATTAAAACTCCATTAAGCTATCACAATAACAATTATTTAGATAATGAAGGACAAGTTGAACAAGAATTAGATACACCCTTTGATTTGGATTTCTATATCTCAAAATATGACTAAAAGATAAGTCCGAGAGTTCATATGGACTAACTTTAATTTTTAATTTTTTAGAAATGATACCAGTGGTAGCATTAAGTGTTTGTGTATAGGACAGTAGAAAACATTAAAGACTTACTCATGGAATTGAGGTTTTATGTAAATAAAAGAAAAAACATGCATTGTTTTCCATCTTTGGATTCATTAGCTTTTACCTCATGAACATTTTTCTCCTTGTTTGTTCTTGTTTAAAATCTTTCACCGCCCAGGACGGCATCTACTTCTAGTACTTCCCTGTCATTTACCTTTCTATAGTATGACTGCATCCATGGATATCCATGACATCACATGTGTTTCTGTCAACATCATCATCACCATCCATAGAATAAGATCTGGGTCCGCTATGTGTGTAGAAAAATAATTTTCCAACAAGGCTGAGTTTTAGGGTTTGTACTTTCCAATTGGATTAGTTAGAAACCCAGCTCTACACTCTTCCAAGCTATGGAACCTTCTTTATCACACTACTGTTTGAAGAAAAGAAGTGGAGGAATTATCAAAACTTGTTTGATCATCACTTCTGTTTGAATTATCTCATATTTCTTCCACAAGGCTGCTATCTTGCAAGAATCATGAAGAGGAATCCATTAAACATGGATGAGGAAGAGGAAGGTGATGATGAAAGGAAGACGAGGAATAGTGCAAGCTCAAGCAACAGCATAGTTGAAGTAGATGAGAAGAAGGCAGCTTCAAGTGGGGTGCGGCCGTATGTCAGATCAAAGATGCCTAGGCTGCGATGGACCCCTGAACTTCATCTTTGTTTTGTTCGAGCTGTGGAGAGACTTGGCGGTCAGGAGAGTAAGATCCTTGAATTTCTTTCGATAACTACTCCTTTTCAAACTGCTTTGTACCTTTAAGATCCTGCTTGTAAATCATATTTTGATATTCTATTTGGTGTAGAAGCAACACCAAAACTGGTCTTGCAACTAATGAACATCAATGGTCTTAGTATTGCTCATGTCAAGAGCCATTTGCAGGTAATTTGTTATCAAACATTAAATTCTTTTAAGGAAGATAGCACAGAAGTAATTGGTCTGATTTCAATTTTGGTTGTTGAGCACACAGATGTACCGGAGCAAGAAGATTGATGATCAGGGTCAAGGTGCAACTTGACCATACAAACATATGTATCCTAAATTTTACATTTAGGGTTGATTAATTTCTTGGCGTTCTATCAAATCTTTCTGATATTACTTTTATGGTATGACAGTTTTAAACAACAAGCAGCTTTTGGGAAGTGTAGATAACCTTTCTCAAAATCTTTGGCATCAGGCCATGCTTCATGATCAAAGGATTAGTTCTGACTTCAGGTATAGATTGACAAAACCACTCTGAATATTTTTGCTTCCAAAGGTTGAGCTGTTAGTTCTTTTGTAAGCCTAACATCTCTCTCTCATTACATATATATAGTGATATTTCATGGAGTGCTTTTTGTGGAAACCGTATGTCTGAGCCTTACTTGACTAATTGCATATATAGTAGAAGGAAGGCTGGTTCTGGTGGTTCAGACATGAATGAAGAACTTGGTTCAAAAGTAAGGAATGAGGTTTTCTACATGAACAATAACTTCATCTTCAATCAACAGCCTGCCAGGAAAATGGAAGACTTGCAAGATAAATTACAGTTGCCAGATGATTGTGAAACCATCCAAGCACAAATGCAGCCAATACTAATGCATCCTTCTTTTGCGAATAAATATATTGGAGGAAGAGGAGCAGAAAGGCAAAGGATAGCCAAAAGAAAAGCTCTTGATGGGGACCTTGATTTGAGCCTGTCACTGAGCACAAAGCTGAGGCAAGAAGTTAGGAGAAAAACCTCCAATATTGAGGAAGAAGCTGCCGATAGAGATTTGTCCCTTTCTTTATATTCTCCTTCAAAGACAGAAATGTATTCTGTGAATGTAAACATGGTCTCGAAGAGCTGCAAGTTGAAAGAAGATGATTCTACAATGAATCTTAAACTGTCGAGTACCCTGGATCTGACTATGTGAATTGCAGACAGTTCTAGTCAGATCTTGTTGGTACTTGTACAAGGCAAAACATTATTATCATAGATTGGTGCCCGACATGCACTGGAGAGGTAATGCCAAACCTTTTCATGATTTATGCTGTCAATTTTCGCATGCTCAAAGGCATGTATTTGCAATAAAATTTTCAATTGCCTCTACCTCCAGGCCATGATCTCCCTCCGTTTTGTTTCGTTTTCTCTTTTTCTTGCTAACATAACACACTCAACTAAAATAGTTTTAGCCTGAGAGCCCGATTCTAACTCAGATCAGGCGGCTTAGGACTTAGGAGTAGGAAGTTTTGAGTAGAGGTTTTAGGCTCTATCTGCAGTGCCCAGTGCTTGATTTATTCCCGGCAATTGGTTGTTCATGGTCAGAAGAAAAGTGTGTTAAAATACATAATTGTTTAACGGTAGTACAGTAACCAAAGACATACAAGCCCCAGATCTCTGTCACAAAGTATATAGGGCAAATGAAACTTAGATCATATTTGCTTGTCTTAGCTTTTCCATTCTTCAAAAACATTTCAGCTTGATTTAAAATTAAAGTTAACACATAGAAAAAGACAGTGATTAAAGATCAGAGAAAGAGAAAGAAACCTCAAAACATATTTGGAAGATGAAGTCACGCGATCCATGCTGTGATTTCTGATTGCATCCATTACTAAACATTTCGAACAGTTAGCTCAGTTGAGTAATGATTGTCATTATAGTTTGCCGCCCAAGAAGAAAATTGTGGTACGTAGTTTTGGGGACCATTTCCTACTGGTCTTTTGTTTCTCAACCAAATAAAGGCTAGGCATCAGAAAATGATACATAATCAAGATCCTCACTGATGATCAGTGCAAGTTTAACACCAAAATTAGCAAACACAGGAAGATAGAATGATACAATCTCATTCAACTCTATTCACCGCCTGCTACCACCTATGCATAGAACATTTCAACTCTATTCACTCCAAATTTAATGACTGCAAATGCATTGACTTCTCGACTGTTAATTCTTCATCCCTCAACGTAGTAATATATGTAAAGCACATTACAATGACAAATTGGTTGCATTTTTTTTTTTTGTAGTGCTGTTAGTAGTTTTTTTAGCAATGAGTAGACGTTATTGATTGTTATTAAAAGTAAGAAAAAGTGCAAATAAAAATTAAAATAGCAGTACTTTTTAAACTTTACTGCATAAGTATAGGCTATACCATGTAACAAAAGCCCAAATTTATTACAGTGCATATAGGCTTGTTTTTCTCCTTTTCTCTCATTCCGCTAATCAGCTTTCTAGATGTTATATAGGATCAATTTGACCTCTCTTTGTTCACAATAATGACAATGGGGAACTATCAGAGCTTTCTCTTTCAAGTATGCAATAGAGTAATTTGTTTTGTTTGCTTGAAGATGTGAAATCAAGATAGAGAAGCTGACAGTAAATCAATCTGATTGTCCTCTGTCTCCAAACCTTCTGCAATATGTTGCTTGCCCAGAAGCTTTTCAAAGGATACTTCCAGAGATAAAATTTTTGTTTTATCATTGAAAGAAACTCCATAAAAGCATTTTCAATATTCTCATACATGTATGTGGATCCTGTGTGGCCTTAAAGCAAATATAAGAACCTCGTATGAGATATACAATTCATGGATTCATTCATTCAAGTAGGAAACCGTGAAACGAAACTGCCAGTTTGTTGCTTCATAAGTAGCATTAATACCTCAGAAGTTGCCCTAATTATTTCTGGTTAATTAATTATGAGCCACACATATTCCACCTTCACTCTATCCTAAATGTTTATTCAACGTTACTGCATCCATAATTACAAGCAAATAATAGAAGTTGTTTCAACATATCT